CCCACTAATGCATCTTTCTTAATGGTAAAATTTCCTTACCGCCCACCAGGACTTGATGGAAGGAGGATTCCGAACCCCCTACTGCCCAGTTAGAATCCTGAAATGCCCACTAGTGTGTGGTAGGAACCAGATCGACAATCCCTGATCTAGACCAACCCCCTGCAATGCAGGAAAAACCCGACCTCTGCTGAAAAACCTTAAAAAATGAAGGAGAGTTCACCACCTTCCAAGGTAGCTCATCTCACTTGCAGTCAGAAATTTCAGTTTAGGATTAGATGTCAGTTTAGGATTAGAGGTATTTTTACTCCTTGCATAAAATACAGATGCAGGAAGAGTCGGAAAGCCAGGAAGTAATTGTAATCTCTGTATTTACGTGGATTTAAATGAAAGAAGTGAAAGAAGCTCTCTTACATAACTGGGACAAAATTACATAACTGGGAAAAAAATATTACAAAAAGACAATACCAATAAAGAGTACAAATTAAGAAGGGGGAAGGAAAAGAAAACTTAAACTATCTATTGTTATTAGTAAGATAAAGAATATGACATAAATTTGAGATTGAAAAATCTCATTATCATTAAACCCAACCTCCCATTTATTCCTTAGTTCTTTCTAAATAACTTTACTGCCATACCAAAATATTATTTTTTATATTATTTTTACAGAGTTTTTTTGTTGTTTAGTCATTTAGTTGTGTCCGACTCTTTGTGACCCCATGGAACAGAGCACGCCGGGCACTCCTGTCTTCCACTGCCTCCCGCAGTTTGGTCAAACTCATGCTGGTAGCTTAAAGAACACTGTCCAGCCATCTCGTCCTCTGTCATCTCCTTCTCCTTGTGCCCACCATCTTTCCCAACATCAGGGTCTTTTCCAGGGAGTCTTCTCTTCTCATGAGGTGGCCGGAGTATTGGAGCCTCAGCTTCACAATCTGTCCTTCCAGTGAGCACTCAGGGCTGATTTCCTTCAGAATGGATAGGTTTGATCTTCTTGCAGTCCATGGGACTCTCAAGAGTCTCCTCCAGCACCATAATTCAAAAGCATCAATTCTTCAGCAATCAGCCTTTTTTATGGTCCAGCTCTCACTTTCATACATCACTACTGGGAAAACCACAGCTTTAACTATATGGACCTTTATTGGCAAGGTGATTTCTCTGCTTTTTAAGATGCTGTCTAGGTTTGCCATTGCTTTTCTCCCAAGAAGCAGGCGTCTTTTAATTTCGTGGCTGCTGTCACCATCTGCAGTGATCATGGAGCCCAAGAAAGTAAAATCTCTCACTGCCTCCATTTCCCCCCCTTCTATTTGCCAGGAGGTGATGGGACCAGTGGCCATGATCTTCGTTTTTTTGATGTTGAGCTTCAGACCATATTTTGCGCTCTCCTCTTTCACCCTCAATAAAAGGTTCTTTAATTCCTCCTCACTTTCTGCCATCAAGGTTGTGTCATCTGCATATCTGAGGTTCTTGATATTTCTTCCGGCAATCTTAATTGGGATTCATCCAGCCCAGCCTTTCGCATGATGAATTCTGCACATAAGTTAAATAAGCAGGGAGACAATATACAGCCTTGTCATACTCCTTTCCCAATTTTGAACCAATCAGTTGTTCCATATCCAGTTCTAACTGTCGCTTCTTGTCCCACATAGAGATTTCTCAGGAGACAGATGGGGTGATCAGGCACTCCCATTTTGATACAAATTCAGCTCTCGGTTTATTTTTTCCTGATAAGCTATCTAATTCAGCATATTCAGTCAATTTTTGAATCCACTCCTGTCTGGAAGGAATTATGTTGCTTTTCCACCTTGATGGCTATAAGGACTCTCGCTGCCACTGTTGCATACAAAAAAATACCTTTAATTTGTTTTGGAATATCTGAGTCAGTGATGCCCAACAGATGTGCCTCTGGCTTTCTATTACAGTGGTACCTCGTGTTACAGACACCTCAGGTTAAAGGTGCTTCAGGTTACAGACTCCACTACCTCAGAAATAGTACCTCGGTTAAGAACTTTGTTTCAGGATGAGAACAGAAATCGCACGGTAGCAGCGGGAGGCCCCATTAGCTAAAGTGGTACCTCAGGTTAAGAACAGTTTCAGGTTAAGAATGGACCTCCAGAACAAATTAAGTTCTTAACCCGAGGTCCCACTGTAAAGGAAAGTCTTAACATTTTTTCTAATTCTGAATGGATTTCCTCCCAAAATTTCTTTATTTTGCTACATTGCCACCATATATGATACAGTGAGCCTGTTTGATCTCCACATCTCCAACAGTTACTTTTGGCTCCTTTGTACATTTTGGCTAATTTCCATGGAGTCAAATACCACTGGTGCTGCATTTTTAAAACGTTTTCCTTATGGCATAGCACGTGGTAAATCTCCAACTATTCTTCCACAGATTTTCCCATTGGGACAATGTTATAACATACCCAAAGTCTTGAGACCACTTTATCACGGCTGATGTAAATCAAATCTCGAGGTTTCCTTGGCAAACCCTTTTTATCTACATTAATTTTTTTGAATATTGGATAATATTGGAACCAATCTGTAATAATATCTCTTAATTCCTCAAAACTTTTAAGTTTCAGTTGGTTATCTTCTTTTAAAATTATTTTATAAGTAGGCCAATTTCACAACGTATTTTTTTCCTTCACCACTGTGGCCTCTGCTTGGAGAGGCCCACCACGGGATTTTAGGCTCCAACCGATCTTTGTATTTCTCCCAAACTTTAAGAAGTGATCTCCTTATAATATGATTTGAGAAATCTCTGTGTATTTTTGCCTTTCCATAAATTCAATAAGGGTGCCAAGCCCAACGGTTATTATGTCCCTCCAAATCCAATAAACCTATATCTTGCAAATTAGCGGTGCTCCACTTAAAGTGCTTTCCTCATTACAAGAATCGAAATATTTTCCCCATCTTGATTCACTTATGCAAAATGAGATGCGAAATCTGACCAAATCTTTTCCCACATTCCAAGTATATATATGGTTTATCCCATGTGAGTTCTTTTATGAGAAGTAAGCGTAGATCCATGTGCAAATCTCTTTCCACACTCCAAACATTTATATGGTTTCTCCCCTGTGTGAGTTCTTTTATGAGAAGTAAGGGCAGATCCCTGTGCAAATCTCTTTCCACACTCCAAACATATATATGGTTTCTCCCCTGTGTGAATTCTTTTATGAGAAGTAAGGCCAGATCCATGTGCAAATCTCTTTCCACAGTCCAAACATTTATATCGTTTCTCCCCTGTGTGAACTTTGTGATGAGATCTAAGGCTTGAGCTTTCAGTGAAGTTCTTTCCACACTCAAAACAGGTATATGGTTTCACCCCTGTGTGAATTCTTTGATGACATTTAAGCTGTGATCTGTGAGTGAAGCTCTTTCCACACTCAAAACATGCATACGGTTTTTTCACCTCTGTGAATTTTTTGATGTTTATGAAGGCCTGTACCATGCCGGAAGCTCTTTCCACACTCAAAGCACTTATATGGCTTCTCTTCTGAATGGATTCTGCGGTGGATAACAAGTGATGTGGAGTTACTAAAGCTCTTTCCACATGTCACACATTTATATGGTTTTTCCCCTGTATGGATTCGCTCATGCACAGTAAGATGTGAACTATGACTGAAGCTCTTCCCACATTCAAAGCATTTATACGGCTTCTCACCAGTGTGAGTTCTCTTATGTGAACTAAGGTGTGAACTCTGGCTGAAGCACTTTCCACATTCCAAGCATTTATATGGTTTCTCCCCTGTGTGGGTTCTCTTATGTGTAGTAAGGCTAACACTGTGAGCAAAGCTCCTTCCGCACTCCAAACATTTATAAGATTTCTCCCCAGTGTGAATTCTTTGATGCAATGTAAGACTTGAGCCATGAGCGAAGCTCATTCCGCACTCCAAACATTTATATGGCTTCTCCCCTGTGTGGATTTTTTGATGCATTGCAAGGCCTGAGCTGCTAGTGAAGGCCTTCCACACTCAAAACAGGTATATGGTTTCTCCCCTGTGTGGATTTTTTTATGATATACAAGGCTTGATCTGCTAGTGAAGGCCTTTCCACACTCTAAACAGGTATATGGTTTCTCCTCACTGTGGACTTTCTGATGTCTTTTAAGGTTTGAGTGGCGATTGAAACCCTTTCCACATTCTAGGCATTTGTATGATTCCTGTCCTGCGTGAATTCTTTCATGTGATTTTAGGCCTGAGCTGTCACTGAAGTTCTTTCCACACACCAAGCATTCACACGGTTTCTCCTCTGTGTGGATTCTGCAGTGTGAATTGAACCTAGATTACTTTTGAATGTTTTGCCACATAAAGGTCTCCCATTTGTTTTCTTCCCCTTCTGATGTTTTTTCTGGACTGGGATTCGATGGTCGTTATCAGTCTGCATTAGAAGGCCTTCATACCTCCCATTTTCTTCTTGGTTTTTCTCTTGTGGTCTTGTTTCCTCTTGATCTTGAAAGGTCTTTCCTTTGACTTCATTCTTGGTTCTTTCTGATGAGACCCAAGAACAATGACTGTCGTGTTCATCACCTGCTAAAGTTAAGGGAGGATGACAATTAAAAATGTAATCCAAATCACCATCCTAGTGAGACTTTCTGTAACATCTGATGATGATGATGGTGATTTTATTATTTATACCCTGCCCATCTGGCTGGGTTTCCTCAGCCACAGCATATATAAAACATCAAACTGCCCAATACAGGACTGCCTTCAGATGTCTTCTAAAAGCTACATAGTTCTTTATCTGCTTGACATAATAATAATAATAATAATAATAATAATAATAATAATAATAATATTATATTATTTATACCCCGCCCATCTGGCTGAGTTTCCCCAGCCACTCTGGGCGGCTCCCAATCAGTGTTAAAAACAGTACAGCATTACATATTAAAAACTTCCCTGAACAGGGCTGCCTTAAGATGTCTTCTGAATGTCAGGTAATTCTTTATCTCTTTGACATCTGATGGGAGGGCGTTCCACAGGGCGGGCGCCACTACCGAGAAGGCCCTCTGTCTGGTTCCCTGTAGGCTCACTTCTCGCAATGAGGGAACCGCCAGAAGGCCCTCGGCGCTGGATCTCAGTGTCCGGGCTGAACGATGGGGGTGGAGACGCTCCTTCAGGTATACAGGACCGAGGCCGTTTAGGGCTTTAAAGGTCAGCACCAACACTTTGAATCGTGCTCGGAAACGTACTGGGAGCCAGTGCAGATCTCTCAGAACCGGTGTTATGTGGTCCCGGCGGCCACTCCCAGTCACCAGTCTAGCTGCCGCATTCTGGATTAATTGCAGTTTCCGGGTCACCTTCAAAGGTAGCCCCACGTAGAGCGCGTTGCAGTAGTCCAAGCATGAGATAACCAGAGCATGCACCACTCTGGCGAGACAGTCCGCGGGGAGGTAGGGTCTTAGCCTGCGTACCAGGTGGAGCTGGTAGACAGCTGCCCTGGACACAGAGTTAACCTGCGCCTCCATGGACAGCTGTGAGTCCAAAATGACTCCCAGGCTGCGCACCTGGTCCTTCAGGGGCACAGTTACACCATTCAGGACCAGGGAATCCTCCACACCTGCCCGCCTCCTGTCCCCCAAAAACAGTACTTCTGTCTTGTCAGGATTCAACCTCAATCTGTTAGCCGCCATCCAACCTCCAACCGCCTCCAGGCACTCACACAGGACCTTCACCGCCTTCACTGGTTCTGATTTAAAGGAGAGGTAAAGCTGGGTGTCATCTGCATACTGATGAACACCCAGTCCAAACCCCCTGATGATCTCTCCCAGCGGCTTCATATAGATATTAAAAAGCATGGGGGAGAGGACAGAACCCTGAGGCACCCCACAAGTGAGAGCCCAGGGGTCTGAACACTCACCCCCCCCCCACCATTTCTGGACACGGCCCAGGAGGAAGGAGCGGAACCACTGTATGACAGTGCCCCCAGCTCCCAGCCCCTCTAGACGGTCCAGAAGGATGTTATGGTCGATGGTGTCAAAGGCCGCTGAGAGATCCAGCAGAACTAGGAAACAGCTCTCACCTTTGTCCCTAGCCCGCCGGAGATCATCAACCAGCGCGACCAAGGCAGTTTCAGTCCCATGGTGAGGCCTGAATCCCGATTGGAAGGGATCCAAATGGTCCGTTTCCTCCAGGCGTGTTTGGAGTTGCTCAGCAACCACCCGCTCAATCACCTTGCCCAAGAATGGCAGATTTGAGACTGGGCGATAGTTGGCCAAATTGGCCGGGTCTAAAGATGTTTTTTTAAGAAGCGGTTTAATGACCGCCTCTTTCAGCGGGTCTGGGAAGGCTCCCTCACAGAGGGAAGCATTCACCACCCCGCAGAGCCCATCGCCCAGCCCTTCCCGGCTCGCTTTTATCAGCCAGGATGGGCAAAGATCAAGGAGACAGGTGGTCGGTTTCACTCGTCCAAGCAGCCTGTCCACATCCTCGGAGGTAACAGATTGGAATTGATCCCATATAACAGGACCAGACAGAACTCTAGCACTCTCCCGCCCTGGCCCTGCTGCCACTGTGGAGTCTACCTCCTTCTGAATCTGAGCAATTTTATCTGCAAAAAACTTTGCAAAAGCATTGCAGGAGATCTTGGGGTCCCTACCAGGCCCCGGTGGTACAGGTGGTTCCGATAAACTGCGAACCACCTGAAAAAGTCTCCTGCTGCTGTTTTCTGCAGATGCAATGGAGGCAGCGAAGAAGGCCCTCTTCGCCGTCGCCATTGCCACTTGGTAGGCTCGACGTTGAGCTCTAACCCGTGTCCGGTCTGATTCAGAATGAGTTTTCCGCCACCGGCGCTCTAGCCGTCTCAACGATTGTTTCATCACCCTCAGCTCCGGGGAAAACCACGGGGCTGTCCGGGCTCCATGCAATCGGAGAGGGCGCTTCGGAGCCAGACAGTCAATAGCCCTGGTTAACTCCGCATTCCAGCGTGCCACCAGGGAATCAACTGAAAGGCCATCAACTTGGGATAAAGCATCCCCTACCACTCTCTGCAAGCCAATTGGATCCATTAAGTGGCGGGGGCGGACCATCCGAATCGGTCCCACCTCCCTGCGGAGGGGAAGGGTTGCGGAGAAGTCCAGTTGCACCAGGAAGACATCTGAAGGGTGCCACCACTGAGCAGGCCCTCTGCCTGGTTCCCTGTAACTTCACTTCTGGCAATCAGGGAACCAGAGCTGGACCTCAGTGTCTGGGGTTAGAGATGCTCCTTCAGGTCTACAGGGTCAAGACTGTTTAGAGCTTTAAAGGTCAGCACCAACACTTTGAATGATGCTCAGAAACAAACTCTGAGCCGATGTAGATCCTTTAAGACCAGTGTTATATGCTCCTGGCAACTGCTCCCAGTCACCAGTTGAGCTGCCGCTTTCTGGATTAATTGTAGTTTCCGAGTCACTTTCAAAGGCAGCCCCACCTAGAGTGCATTGTAGCAATCCAAGCGGGAGATAACCATAGCATGTACCACAGTCTGTGTGCAGGTAGGGTCTCAGCCTGTGTAGCAGATGGAGTTGGTAGACAGCAGCCCCCAAATCCTGACTATGGCCAAGTCACCATTAGAAAACATTCATTTCCTGCCTATCTTTAATCTCTGCCAGTCCAGAGCTCTGGCCCTGCAGCCCTCCTTGTTTTCTTGCCAGGGGAGCTTCCTCAGCCCCCAACATCTCCCCAGGTCCCCATCTCCATTCCTTGGAACTCACCAGATCTCTCTAAAGGTCCTGGGAGGGAACATTCAAAGGTGGTGGGAGACAGCCTGACCAGGTCAACCGTCCATCTTCCTCCTTCCATCCTCGCTAGGTTTGCAGAATAATAATAATAATAATAATAATAATAATAATAAATAAATAAATAAATAAATTCTTATTTATACTCCACCCTTCCTGGTTCAGAAAACCGGGCTCAGGGCAGCTAACAACAAATTTAAAACACTTAATTGATGCAACAAAAAACAGCATAAAATACAGTATAAAATGTGAATAACAATAAATTCAGAATTCAAAAATCAAAAATCAATTTAGGTGGAAATCCATCCACGTAAACATTAGATGATCACCAGGACTAGCTGCCTAAATTAGTCCTATTTGGGCCAGCGAGGAGACCAGGGGAGAATTAGCTGTGGGATCCTAGAGCGGGTAATCTTTATAAAAAAGGAAGGGGGAGGGAAGGAAGGGGAATAAAAGATCACGCTAAGTTCAAATTGAAAGCCAGGCGGAATAGCTCTGTCTTACAGGCCCCGCGGAAGGAAGTTAAATCCTGCAGGGCCCTGGTCTCATGGGGCAGAGCATTCCACCAGGTCGGAGCCATCACTAAGAAGGCCCTGGCCCTGGTGGAGGATAATCGGACTTCCTTAGGGCCCAAACTATGATTATTCATGGACCTTAAGGTCTTCTGCGGGGCATACCAGGAGAGGCATACCAGGGGAATCAGACTCTTTCATCCTTCCTGAGGAGCTCAGAAGGCAAAACAAGCGGCATTTTCCTGGGACGGAAAAAGAAGCAAAGGAAGTCTCAGCAGCCCTGCAGAGAATTCTCCTGCCCTAGATATTCTCCTGCCGCTGGACATCCCCTCTGCAACAGTCCCAAGCTGTTATTAAACATGTTTTTGTGATTCCAAATTAATCTGTCTGCTTCCTCTATCTTTCCTAAGGCCGGCATGCTACGCTCAGTAGTGACCTGAAAGTATATCCCGTTGAACTCAGTGGAGCTTACATATGAGTAAATCTGCAATGGACTGCTGTGCATATTCTCCCTCTTCTGACACACCGAAACCCATTGGTCCTCTTCCCCTCCCTTCTTCCAGTCAAGACCTCCTTGCCTTTTCTCCCCCCTGTGTCTTTTCTGCTCACTTGGGGGGTGTCCCTCCCCGTCCATCCATCCTCCCCCCCAACCCCCTGTAACTCAGGCAGAAGCAAAGGGAGCCTGCAGGGATTTATCTTGCCACAGAATTTCCTTGTTTCCACTCCCCAAACCTCCATGCCCCCAACTCCATTCCCTGCCACTCACCAGATCTCTCTGAGTGTCCTGGAGGGGAACGGTCAGAGGTTGGGGGAGGCAGCCGGACCAGGTCAACCGTCCATCTTCCCCCTTCCATCCTCGCTAGGATCTGCCTCTTCCATCCTTCCTGAGGAGCTCGGAAGATGCAGGTTATTGGGAGGGAGATAGAAGCAAAGGCAGCCTCTGAGGCCCTGCAGGCATTTTCCCGCCCAAGATATTTTCCTGGTGAATGATAAGCCTGCCTAGGTGTGGAGCTCCCATGATAAAAGAGGAGTGTCCCCCCCTCCTGAACCCCACCATGCGAGGAAAGTGGAGTCATGCCTGAAAGAGGATCTTCTTCCCACCAACATTCAAAACATTCCTTTTTTGGCTTCCTTCTTTCTCTGCCAGCCTGGAGCTGTGACCTGGCTGCCTCCCTCCATTCCACCTCCTCCCCCAACCCCACTTTAGGGGAAGGGGCTGTAGCTCAAGAGCAGAGCATCTCCTCAGCAGGCAGAAAGCCCCCAATCCAAGACCCCCCCTTTGGTCTAATCCTGCCCTCCCTGTTGTTGTTTAGTCGTTTAGTCGTGTCCGACTCTTCGTGACCCCATGGACCAGAGCACGCCAGGCACTCCTGTCTTCCACCGCCTCCTCGCAGTTTGGTCAGGCTCATGTTTCGAGAACACTGTCCAACCATCTCATCCTCTGTCGTCCACTTCTCCTTGTGCCCTCCATCTTTCCCAACATCAGGGTCTTTTCCAGGGAGTCTTCTCTTCTCATGAGGTGGCCAAAGTCTTGGAGCTCCAGCTTCACGATCTGTCCTTCCAGTGAGCACTCAGGTCTGATTTCCTTAAGAATGGATGCATTTGATCTTCTTGCAGTCCATGGGACTCTCAAGAGTCTCCTCCAGCACCAGAATTCAAAAGCATCAATTCTTCGGCGATCAGCCTTCTTTATGGTCCAGCTCTCACTTCCTGCCCTCCCTACTCGACCCCTTTCTTTCCAAAACATCCATGCCTCCCTCCTCCTCTTCCCAGAGCCACCCTGCCCCCTTTCCTTTTTTGGGGGGGTTCCTACCCCACCCTAAAACTCCCTCCCCCCCGCCTCGCCTTCTTGCCTTGCTCTCCCCCTGGGGCGCCCCTGCAGCCCTCGAGGTCCTTTGCTCTCCCCGCAGCTCTTTGGGGGCTCAAATGTGGGGTGCAAACCCATGCATGCTCCTCCCCCGGAGGGCTTCTCTCCTGCTCTGACACGGGAGCTCCCTCCCCCCCCCCCCAAAAAAAATATATCCCTCTTTTTTCCTACCTTGCAAAAGGCACAGTCTTCCGCGCTGCAGAATCTCCTCCCTCGCAGCTTGTCACATGTGACAAACGGAGGAGGAAGTGACGCTTCCCTCTCCCCCCAGGAAGTCCAGCGTCATAATATAATCGCTGCCTTTAACCCTTGAAGAGCCAGTATCCCCCCTTCACCCTTGTTATGTACTGAATTGAATAGGATCCAAACTGCAGCAGTCTGATTGGTCTTAGAACAATGCAGCAGTATGATTGGTTGGCAGGAACCACCCAATCATGCTCCAGATAGAAGTGAATCCACAACCTGATTGGCTTACAGTAGAATTCCAGAATTAGCCAATCATGGGCAGCCCATTGTGTAAATAATGTATATAAAGCAGATACTTTGAGGGGACTTTCATTCATTCCTCCTCCGCACTATGAGCTGAATAAAGAGCATGAAATCACTTTGCGACTCTGAGTATATTTCAACCCTCCACCCCTACCCCAAACTGTAAGGTGCTGGGGACATTGTGGATTCTGCTTCTTTCTACCCCATAAAATAGGGTTGCTACCTTTCTTCTGGCGAAATACAGGGCGGTTGGGGGTGATTCCTCCCACCCCCCAATGTGTTGCTGAACCGACTTCGAAGCAATCCATTGCAATCTGTCGCAGGCCCATCTTGCATTTCTCTCCCATCATCATCATTCCAACAATTTCCTCCATCGCCTCTCCAACAATTTCATTTGTTCAACAGAACTTTCCCTCCGGTTGACAGAAGCGATTCCTTGGATCCCAGCTTGAAGTGTAGAATGACTTTCCCCAGTCTTCAGGTTAAATATGCTATAAAGGCTGTCAATTTAGCGTGCTTCCTAACCAAGGTGGATTTGTGAAGGTTTTATTTATGGCCGAGTAATACATGCACTTTATTGGTAACTGTTGGGCTGATTATAATTATTTTCTCACCTAATCTTGTTTTCAGATTATATATAGGTTCTTAAATTGTATTTCTGTTCTATTCTAAACAATAGCTCAGCTCTTGCGGAGTTCCTAGCACATGTATGCTTTTATTTAAAAGAAATGTTTCCATTTTATTTACTGCTTTCCAATCCAGCTCAGCCCCTGGCCTCTCAAGATCTTCCCTCCAAAACTTCGGAGGGGCTCCTCTCCACTCCCACTGGTTGCCCCCCCCCCCCATGGCTTTTCTCACCTCTGCAGGTTTGCCAGCTATGCCCCCTTCGGGACAGAGGTGACTTGGCAACTGAACTCCAGGCTCTGGCAAGATCCAGGCTGAATAATTGCAATGTCTTCTACAGTGGTACCTCAGGTTAAGTACTTAATTCGTTCCAGAGGTCCGTTCTTAACCTGAAACTGTTCTTAACCTGAGGTACCACTTTAGCTAATGGGGCCTCCCGCTGCCGCCGCCACACGATTTCTGTTCTCATCCTGAAGCTAAGTTCTTAACCTGAGGTACTATTTCTGACTTAACCTGAAGCGTCTGTAACCTGAGGTACCACTGTATTTTTTTTAAAGGCAGTTTTCTTCACTTTCTTCCTAAAATGGAGCTGTTTACTGCTTTAATTCTGCCCTGTTCCAAAAGTTTCCATTAGAGCTTTCAGGAAAGCTATGAAGAATTTGCATGACTAGAAGTGCGTTAAGATTTTCAAAATGAAAACACTTAGGGGAACTCAATTTCCCCCTTCCCTTTTTTAAAAAAGATAATCCAATATGGTTAAGAATATAGCATTTTTACTTATTCTATAAAGATGGACAGAAGCTGATGGTGTTAATCTGAATTAGTTGGCCTGCTTGTAACTAACAATATGTTGGAATGTTGCTTCAAGGCGTTGCTTCCTCCTGCAGTGGTTTATAAGTGAGGAATTTTATTATTTCTGAGTATGCATGTGTTTTTGTGCATGTGCATTTATAGGTATACCTGATTATATTCCACCTTTCCAGTGAAAGGTAACTACAACAGCACACAGGTAACAAAATGTATTACATAGAATCATAGAATCATAGAATCATAGAGTTGGAAGAGACCACAAGGGCCATCGAGTCCAACCCCCTGCCAAGCAGGAAACACCATCAGAGCACTTCTGACATATGGTTGTCAAGCCTCTGCTTAAAGACCTCCAAAGAAGGAGACTCCACCACACTCCTTGGCAGCAAATTCCACTGTCAAACAGCTCTTACTGTCAGGAAGTTCTTCCTAATGTTTAGGTGGAATCTTCTTTCTTGTAGTTTGGATCCATTGCTCCGTGTCCGCTTCTCTGGAGCAGCAGAAAACAGCCTTTCTCCCTCCTCTATGTGACATCCTTTTATATATTTGAACATGGCTATCATATCACCCCTTAACCTCCTCTTCTCCAGGCTAAACATGCCCAGCTCCCTTAGCCGTTCCTCATAAGGCATCATTTCCAGGCCTTTGACCATTTTGGTTGCCCTCCTCTGGACACGTTCCAGTTTGTCAGTGTCCTTCTTGAACTGTGGTGCCCAGAACTGGACACAGTACTCCAGGTGAGGTCTGACCAGAGCAGAATACAGTGGCACTATTACTTCCCTTGATCTAGATGCTATACTCCTATTGATGAGGCCCAGAATTGCATTGGCTTTTTTAGCTGCCGCGTCACACTGTTGGCTCATGTCAAGTTTGTGGTCAACCAAGACTCCTAGATCCTTTTCACATGTACTGCTCTCAAGCCAGGTGTCACCCATCTTGTATTTGTGCCTCTCATTTTTTTTGCCCAAGTGCAATACTTTACATTTCTCCCTGTTAAAATTCATCTTGTTTGTTTTGGCCCAGTTCTCTAATCTGTCAAGGTCGTTTTGAAGTGTGATCCTGTCCTCTGGGGTGTTAGCCACCCCTCCCAGTTTGGTGTCATCTGCAAATTTGATCAGGATGCCCTTGAGTCCATCATCCAAGTCGTTGATAAAGATGTTGAATAAGACCGGGCCCAAGACAGAACCCTGTGGCACCCCACTAGTCACTCTTCTCCAGGATGAAGAGGAACCATTGATGAGCACCCTTTGGGTTCGGTCAGTCAGCCAGTTACAAATCCACTGAGTGGTAGCATAGTCAAGACCGCATTTTACCAGCTTCTTTACAAGAATATCATGGGGCACCTTGTCAAATGCCTTGCTGAAATCAAGGTAGACTACATCCACTGCGTTCCCTTCATCTACCAGGCTTGTAATTCTGTCAAAAAACGAGATCAGGTTAGTCTGACATGACTTATTTTTCAGAAATCCATGCTGACTATTGGTGATCACAGCATTCCTTTCTAGGTGCTCACAGACTGTTTGCTTAATGATCTGCTCCAGAATCTTCCCTGGTATTGATGTCAGACTGACTGGGCAGTAATTATTTGGGTCCTCTCTTTTCCCCTTTTTGAAAATAGGGACAACATTTGCCCTCCTCCAGTCTGCCGGGACTTCGCCTGTTCTCCAGGAATTCTCAAAGATGACTGCCAGTGGTTCTGAAATCACATCTGCCAGTTCTTTTAATACTCTTGGATGCAGTTCATCTGGCCCTGGAGACTTGAATACATCTAGACTAGCCAAGTATTCTTGTACTATCTCCTTAGTTATTCTGGGCTGTGTTTCCTCTGCTGAATCATTTGCTCCAAATTCTTCAGGTCGGGCATTGTTTTCTTTATCGGAGAAGACTGAGGCAAAGAAGGCATTGAGGAGTTCAGCCCTTTCTGTGTCCCATGTTTGCATTTCACCATCTTCTCCTCTGAGTGACCCCACGGTTTCTTTGTTCTTCCTTTTGCTACGAACATACCCATAAAAGCCTTTTTTGTTGCTTTTAACCTCTCTAGCAAGCCTGAGTTCATTTTGTGCTTTAGCTTTTCTGACTTTGTGTCTACACGTGCTGGCTATTTGTTTGAATTCCTCTTTGGTGGTTTCCCCCCTTTTCCATTTTTTGTACACATCCTTTTTTAATCTTAACTCAGTTAAAAGTTCTTTAGATAGCCACCCTGGCTTCTTTAGGCACCTTCCATGTTTCCGTCTCATTGGTATTGCCTGAAGTTGTGCTTTTACTATCTCCCTCTTAACAAACTCCCAGCCATCTTGAACTCCCTTTCCTTTTAGTATTACTGTCCATGGGATCTCACCCAGCACTTCCCTAAGCTTTATGAAGTCGGCTTTCTTAAAGTCGAGAAATTGAGTCCTAGTATGCTTGGCTGCTCCTTTCCGCTGTATAGTAAACTTCAGAAGAGCATGATCACTCGCGCCTAATGATCCTTCCACTTCTACCCCACTAACCAGGT